GAGGAAGAGGACTCAGGAGGACTGAAAGGGAAGAGGACTGAGGAGAACTGAGGAGGAGGAGGACTGAATAGGAGGAGGAGGGGGACTGGGGGAGGACTGAGGATGAAGAAGACTGACGAGAAGGATGAGGAGGAGGACTGAGGACTGAGGAGGATGAAGAGGAGGAAGACCCAGGAGGAGGAGGGATGAGGACTGAGGAGGACTGAGGAGGATGGCTGAGGAGGATGGCTGAGGAGGATGACTGAGAGGGAGGAGGAGGAAGAGGACTGAGGAGGAGTAGGACTGAGGAGGAGAAAGAGGAGGACCTAGGAGGAGGTGGACACAGAAGGAGGACTCAGGAGGAGGAGGAGATCTCAGGAAGAGGACTGAGGAGGACTGAGAAGGACTGAGGAGGAGAAGGAGAAGGTGGAGGAACTAAGAGGAGGATGAACCAGGAGGAGGACTCAGGAGGAGGACTCAGGAGGAATGAGAAGGAGGAGGACTCAGGAGAACTGATGAGGAGGAGGAGGAGGATTGAATAGGAGGAGGAGGGGGACTGGGGAGGACTGAGGAGGAGGAGGACTGACGAGAAGGATGAGGAGGAGGACTGAGGACTGAGGAGGATGAGGAGGAGGAAGACCCAGGAGGAGGAGGGATGAGGACTGAGGAGGACTGAGGAGGATGGCTCAGGAGGAAGGCTGAGGAGGATGACTGAGAGGGAGGAGGAGGAAGAGGACTGAGGAGGAGGAGTAGGACTGAGGAGGAGAAAGAGGAGGACCTAGGAGAAGGAGGACCCAGAAGGAGGACTCAGGAGGAGGAGGAGATCTCAGGAAGAGGACTGAGGAGGACTGAGAGGGAGGAGGACTGAGGAGTACTGAGAGGGAGGAGGACTCAGGAGTACTGAAGAGGATGACTGAGGAGGAGGAGGAGAAGGAGAAAGACTGAGGAGGAGAAGGAGAAGGTGGAGGAACTAAGAGGAGGATGAACCAGGAGGAGGACTCAGGAGGAAGAGAAGAGGACTCAGGAGGAGGACTTAGGAGGAATGAGAAGGAGGAGGACTGAGGAGAGCTAAGGAGGAGGAGGAGGACTGAATAGGAAGAGGAGGGGGACTGGGGAGGACTGAGGAGGAGGAGGACTGACGAGAAGGATGAGGAGGAGGACTGAGGACTGAGGAGGAAGAGGAGGAGGATGAAGAGGAGGAGGATGAAGAGAAGGAAGAAGACCCAGGAGGAGGAGGACTGAAGAGGAGGATGAGGATGAGGACTGAGGAGGAGGAGGAGGACTGAGGAGGACTGAGGAGGATGGCTGAGGAGGATGACTGAGAGGGAGGAGGAGGAGGACTGAGGAGGAGGAAGAGAAGGACTGAGGAGGAGAAGGAGGAGGACCTAGGAGGAGGAGGACCCAGGAGGAGGACTCAGGAGGAGGACTCAGGAGGAGGACTCAGGAGGAGGATGAGGACTCAGGAGAAGGACTCAGGAAAACTGAGGAGGAGGAGGAGTGAATAGAAGAAGGAGGGGGAGGACCTAGGAGGAGGAGGACCCAGAAGGAGGACTGAGGTCCTGAGGAGGAGGAGGAGAACTCAGGAAGAGGACTGAGGAGGACTGAGAAGGAGGAGGACTGAGGAGTACTGATGAGGATGACTGAGGAGGAGGAGGAGGAAAAGAAGGACTGAGGAGGAGAAGGAGAAGGTGGAGGAACTAGGAGGAGGATGAACCAGGAGGAGGACTCAGGAGGAAGAGGGGAAGTACTCAGGAGGAGGACTTAGGAGGAATGAGAAGGAGGAGGACTGAGGAGAACTGAGGAGGAGGAGGAGGACTGAATAGGAAGAGGAGGAGGGGGACTGGGGAGGACTGAGGAAGAGGAGGAGGATGAAGAGGACCCAGGAGGAGGAGGACTGAAGAGGAGGATGAGGACTGAGGAGGAGGAGGAGGACTGAGGAGGATGGCTGAGGAGGATGACTGAGAGGGAGGAGGAGGACTGAGGAGGAGGAGGAGAAGGACTGAGGAGGAGAAGGAGGAGGACCTAGGAGGAGGAGTACTGATGAGGAGGACTGATGAGGATGGCTGAGGAGGATGGCTGAGGAGGATGGCTGAGGAGGATGGTTGAGGAGCACGGCTGAGGAGGATGGCTGAGGAGGATGACTGAGGAGGATGACTGAGAGGGAGGAGGAGGAGGAGAAGGACTGAGGAGGAGGAGGAGAAGGAGGAGGACCTAGGAAGAGGAGGACTCAGGAAGAGGAGGAGGACTTACAAGGAGGAGGACTGAGGAGAACTGAGGAGGAGGAGGATGAGGACTGAATAGGAGGAGGATGGGGACTGGGGGAGGACTGAGGAGGAGGGGGACTTGGGGAGGACTGATGAGGAGGAGCAAGACTGACGAGAAGGATGAGGAGGAGGACTGAGGAGGAGGACTGATGATTGAGGAGGAAGAGGAGGATGATGAAGAGGAGAAGGAGGACCCAGGAGGAGGAGGACCCAGGAGGTCCGGAGGAGGAACCAGGAGGAGGACCAAGGTCCCAGGAGGAAGACTCCGGTAAAATTTGTTGCGTTTGTGTTAAGATTTTAGATTTGATTAATATGAATAAGTTCTTTACGATTATCTATAATGTAATTTGATAACCGGTATTGTAAACCAGTATTTTAATGTAAAACTGTTATTTTTCATTTGCAATGATGCAAGTGCGAAGAACACTGCCATCTCCACGGAACTACTGCTGTAAAGAGGTTTGTAAAATTCTTGACCGTATTATTTTCATCCCTTCAACCGTACCAATATGATGATGTTAAGATTAGTTCATACTATATAGCTCTATAGGTCAAAGTTCTGTCCTAACCAGTAGTCCTTATTAATCGCCTTCCATACTCATACAACCGCCGCCGCCTTACTTAGGGTAAGCGAACTTTCGCTATGATAATTTATTCATGTTGTTGTTCACATTTAATACACTATATTACCATATCCTTTTTTACTTGTTTTACTTGGTTATCGTCCAGATATAAATTCACCTAAATTTCTTAAGTCGATAATTGCAAGAGAATATCCTGTCCTAAAATGTATCTTGTACTATAGGGCCTGTCATGATATCATGGATCGCTTAAGTTCCACGAGGATCTTGTAGTCCTCATAATTCTGCGGCCTCTATGGATCGTCATCTTGCACAAATCTTTAAGACCCTTGTGAGTTTGGCATGTGAAAATTAGCAGCCTTCAAGACATGAATTGGGCTAGCAAGGTGTCGTACGTCACCTCAAGATCGGGTGACAGGGGGCTGACCAGGCCAGAACCCAGTTGATTGTACTGTCACGTGATTATGAGCCTGAGGTCACGTGACTATGACGTCACCAGAGCTTTCAAGCTCTCTTTGACTTTGTTCCATATCCAATATTTAATGCTTACTTTATGCTTACAAGCACTAACTGATGTTTGTCGCCAATCTACTTTAAGTTCATACCAACGATCAAATTTTAAACATTTTTAAAAAAATGACAATGACTAGTGTATGTAGTACAAAGATGCTGATATCCTGGTACGCACAAAAAATCTACTTTGGCAATAGTTTCAGATACATTTCTATTTGATCTTCACAGTTTGAAGCTTTTGCGACTAGCGATGTAGCAGGACTAACGATGTAGTAATTATTCTACTAATAATATTCATCCTCTTTATTTCAATATAATTTGTCTCAAGAAATAATATTTAGACATTAAACGGAGAATTTTTTGATGCTAAAGGGCTGAGTCAGAGCCTAGAGGTTCACTGGGACCGGGGGAGAGAAAGCCTTGTGCAAAATGATCTAACACTGTGGGTGGATATCTTCATGGCTAATGTGAATAAGGTAATTCTTGTATAGTAGCTGTGCAACTGATTACTGTCTGATGGAGGGTGAGGGGGTCTTAAACGGCTGAAAGTTGGGTTATATTGAAACGTCGATGACCGCATCAGCCAACTCATATTATTATTTCGATCGTCCAAAAGACTCAAAAAAAGGTTTTAAATAAACACTGGGGGGGGGGGGGGGGGGGGGGGGCGAACACTTATCCCCAACATAACCCGGCCGGGGCTAACTATGACTCTGACTTCAATCCTAGCCCTGTTGTAAATCATAAACTTCTCCAACTTGACCAGGATTCTTTTTTAACCGTGGCCTAAGTGTCCCTAGGTTCCCTTCATGAAAATGGCAAATATACCTGAGATCCTGATCGCCTCTATATCGCCTGTTGAATGTGTTGTTTGGGTTTTGGAGTGGTCACCATTGCTAGGAGCTTTACCCTCATGACTATTGATGGGCACTGTGCTCTTCTCTTTTCATCTATAAGTATAATCATATTATCTTCGACTTAAGTATTAACTATATAGTTAGTGTTACAAGGGGTGAAGCGCCTTGTTACTTTTTTTATTTTTTTTTATTTGAAAATTCAATTAATCATTAAATATATAAATTAAGAGTCACATTTCAGCCATGCAAAATTACAATGACATATTTTGATATACTAATTGATAAATGGTACTGCAATATAAGTTGCTTAATGTTTGGCCGGATGACAACTAACGAGAAAAATAAACTTGATTACATAATAATTAATTCGGCTGAACTAACACATAGCAAGAGCCACATTAACGTTGGGTTAGCAAGGTGTCGTACGTCACCTCAAGATCGGGTGACAGGGGGCTGACCAGGCCAAAACCCAATTGATTGGGTCTGAGGTCACGTGATTATGAGCCTGAGGTCACGTGACTATGACGTCACCAGAGCTTTCAAGCTCTCTTTGACTTTGTTCCATATCCAATATTTAATGCTTACTTTATGCTTACAAGCACTAACTGATGTTTGTCACCAAATTACTTGAAGTTCATACCAACGATCAAATTTTAAACATTTAAAAAAAAATGACAATGACTAGTGTTTGTGTATGTATTCTGTGTAAAATTATCTTTATCCCGGTTGTTGCGACTAGTAAAAATGCTCTTATTAGGGAAAGGAGATTACTCGACGTTTCAATGTAACTACATCGTATTCATGATCTCAAATTATTTTTTACATAGTAGTGTTGAAAGTATTAAAAGTTTTAATGAGTTTTAATACTTTCAACACTACTATATAACAAATAATTTGAGATCATGAATACGATGTAGTTACATTGAAACGTCGAGTAATCTCCTTTCCCTAATAAGAGCATTTTTACTTGTCGCAACAAGCGGGATAAAGATAATTTTACACAGAATACATTAAAACAATGCGACTCATAAATAATACTCCAATCCGGATTTTACACTAGTGTATGTAGTACAAATATGCTGATATCCTGGTACGCACAAAAAATCTACTTTGGCAATAGTTTCAGATACATTTCTATTTGATCTTCACAGTTTGAAGCTTTTGCGACTAGCGATGTAGCAGGACTAACGATGTAGTAATTATTCTACTAATAATATTCATCCTGTTTATTTAAATATAATTTGTCTCAAGAAATAATATTTAGACATTAAACGGAAAATTGTTTGATGCTAAGGGGCTGAGTCAGAGCCTAGAGGTTCACTGGGACCGGGGGAGAGAAAGCCTTGTGCAAAATGATCTAACATTGTGGGTGGATATCTTCATGGCTATTGTGAATAAGGTAATTCTTGTATAGTAGCTGTGCAACTGATTACTGTCTGATGGAGGGTGAGGGGGTCTTAAACGGCTGAAAGTTGGGTTATATTGAAACGTCGATGACCGCATCAGCCAACTCATATTATTATTTCGATCGTCCAAAAGACTCAAAAAAAGGTTTTAAATAAACACTGGGGGGGGGGGGGGGGGCCGAACACTTATCCCCAACCATAACCCGGCCGGGGCTAACTATGACTCTGACTTCAATCCTAGCCCTGTTGTAAATCATAAACTTCTCCAACTTGACCAGGATTCTTTTTTAACCGTGGCTTAGGTGTCCCTAGGTTCCCTTCATGAAAATGGCAAATATACCTGAGATCCTGATCGCCTCTATATCTCCTGTTGAATGTTTTGTTTGGGTTTTGGAGTGGTCGCCATTGCTAGGAGCTTTACCCTCATGACTATTGATGGGCACTGTGCTCTTCTCTTTTCATCTATAAGTATAATCATATTATCTTCGACTTAAGTATTAACTATACTAGCAGGAACCCGTATAACCCTAAAATGGTGTCAAGACTCAAGAGACTAAAATAATTATTACCTATTTAATTCGCGTTTTTGACACCACTTGGGGGTCCAAATTTTGGGCTCTAAAACTCCTATTCCTTGGTTATTTTTTCATGCTGATTTGAAGGCCATTAAAGCATTTGACCCAATCAAAAAAGTTTCAGTTGTATATCTTTTACGGTTTTTGCGGAATGTCGCGTTAAAGTTGATGCCGTGGTGTCAGTAAAATGGCACGGATAAACACATCCATATATATCGTCTCGCTTTATATATAGTAAGATAGTTAGTGTTACAAGGGGTGAAGCGCCTTGTTATTATTATTGTTTTTTTAATTTGAAAATTTAATTAATCATTATATATATAAATTAAGCGTTACATTTCAGCCATGCAAAATTACAATGACATATTTTGATATACTAATTGATAAATGGTACTGCAATATAAGTTGCTTAATGTTTGGCCGGATGACAACTAACGAGAAAAATAAACTTGATTACATAATAATTAATTCGGCTGAACTAACACATAGCAAGAGCCACATTAACGTTGGGGCCGTCTACTAAATTTGAATGACAAACATTAACAAGAAATCAAACATATCATAAATAATTATAAGGATTTTGTTCTATACAATTCCGTCACAACTGATAAAGAAAAAAGAAAGGGACAAGCAGATAGGAAATTGGACGGACAGAATTGTAACCAACAAAAACACAGACTCATAAGACTGATGAGCTAATCTGGCCAGACTGTATCGGCAGCCCAGAGGTACTTGATCAGTTTGGCCTAAAAAGTAGAAATCCGCTCTGGCTGCCGGATACATACTGGTAGACTATTCCAATTCAGCATAGATCTATGAAAGAAGCTATTTCGGAAGGCATCCGAGCAGGGCACAGTGGTACTCATGTAAGTTGAAGTATCCGACCTATCAATTATTTGAGCATTGTGCCTAGTGTATCGGGTGCCCTCTGGACGGCATAGGACTATATATGTAGGGAGCGAAACTGGAATTATGCTATTCACTATTTTATAGAAGGTCATAAGATTGTTATAAGCCCCACGAAAAACCTCACCGAACCTCCACGCGGTGTGGGGTGGGTGGCTCGAACGGGAGGTGCATGGGTGTTTCTAACCTATGCAAAGGAAGGGACTAGCCATCTCTACAACAAGGAAAGGCTCTAATAGCCTCTACTAACCTTAGAACCGCAGCATAACCGCTTTTCCCACAGGCAAATAACACCTTCCGCAGGAAACTAACACGCTCACAGGCCCCCACATGACGTGTAACCCCAGGATTTGGTTTTGTATCAGACACTGAAAACAACGATAGAGGAGCGGTCTACACGCTCACAGGCTACCATGTCTCGTGTAACCCCAGGATTTGACGGTACCGCGACAATTGACCCCCCGACAATTGACCCCCCGACAATTGACCCCCCGACAATTGACCCCCCGACAATTGACCCCCTATGTTATTACACTGGGGTCAATTGTCGCGAAATCTAGGGTTTAGTACGACAATTGACCCCCCTACAATTGACCCCCCGACAATTAACCCCCCGACAATTGACCCCCCGACAATTGACCCTCTATGTAATTACACTGGGGTCAATTGTCGCGAAATCTAGTGCTTAGTACGACAATTGACCCCCCGACAATTGACCCCCCGACAATTGACCCCCCGACAATTGACCCCCGACAATTGTAATTAAACTGGGGTAAATTAATCGGGTTAGGGTTAGGGTTAGGGTTAGGGCTGGGGTTAGGGTTAGGGTTAGGGTTGGGGTTAGGGTTAGGGTCAGGGACAGCTGTTCCTGGGTCAGGGTCATGGGTCAGGGTCAGGGTCAGGGTCAGGGTCAGGGTCAGGGTCAGGGTCAGGGTCAGGGTCAGGGTCAGGGTCAGGGTCAGGGTTAATTGTATTAAATTATATTTTCGGGGGTCAATTGTCGGGGGGTCAATTGTCGGGGGGTCAATTGTCGGGGGGTCAATTGTCGGGGGGTTAATTGTCGGGGGGTTAATTGTCGGGGGGTCAATTGTCGGGGGGTCAATTGTCGGGGGGTCAATTGTCGCCCACCCGATTTGACACGTTCACAGGCTACCATGTCTCGTGTAACCTTAGGATTTAAACACGCTCACAGGCTACCACGTCTCGTGTAACCCTAGGACTCTAACACTTAACAGACTCTAACACGCTCACAGGCTTCCACGTCTCGTGTACCCCAGGATTTGGTTTTGGATCGGACACTGAAAACAACGATAGAGGAGCGGTCTACACGCTCACAGGCTACCATGTCTCGTGTAACCCCAGGATTAGACACGTTCACAGGCTACCATGTCTCGTGTAACCCCAGTATTTGGTTTTGGATCGGACACTCAAAACAACGATAGAGGAGCGGTCTACACGCTCACAGGCTACCACGTCTCGTGTAACCCCAGGATTTAACACGCTCACAGGCTACCAAGTCTTGTGTAACCTTAGGATTTAACACGCTCACAGGCTACCACGTCTCGTGTAACCCTAGGACTCTAATACTTAACAGACTCTAACACGCTCACAGGCTTCAACGTCTCGTGTACCCTAGGATTTGGTTTTGGATCGGACAGTCAAAACAACGATAGAGGAGCGGTCTACACGCTCACAGGCTACCATGTCTCGTATAACCCCAGGGGCCAGGATTTTACACGTTCACAGGCTACCACGCCTCGTGTACCCTAGGATTTTGTTTTGGATCGGACACTCAAAACAACGATAGAGGAGCGGTCTACACGCTCACAGGCTACCATGTCTCGTGTAACCCTAGGATTTAACACGCTCACAGGCTACGACGTCTCGTGTAGCCCTAGGACTCTAACACTTAACAGACTCTAACACGCTCACAGGCTTCCACGTCTCGTGTACCCTAGGATTTGGTTTTTGGATCGGACACTCAAAACAACGATAGAGGAGTGCTAGTGGTCTACAGTGACGTTACAGGAACATTGCATACTCCTACGAGTTGCACTCCTACGAGTTGCATGTAGCAGGCCATGACCGTCCCTGGAAGTCCCTGTCTCCTCATCGTTAACCCGTAAGGGGTTGCACCAGGGGCGGTGGTAACAGAACTTCAAGACTCTCGGAGTCTGTTGTCGATATCTATGTATAATATAATTATGGTATATAACTTGGGAGTCTCTCTCTCTAGCAGCAGGAGTTGGAGAATGGGGACGCGTTGTGAAAGCCACCGCAAGGAAGGCTTACAGTCGACGCCGACCAATCAAAAGAAGAAGATTGTTATAAATAAACTTCTGTTTAACAGGGAGAATATTTAGTTTCTTTTGCTCTGTAGCAAGTTTATCGTCATTATAACTGGAGTAGGGTTCACCATTGATCCATTTAATAGCCCTCTTTTGGATAGCAACAAACTGTTGAAGATGAGTTGCAGATTGAGGGGACCATATGACAGAACAATGTTCAAATATAGACCTAATTAACGCTAAATAGAACGATCTTTTCTGCCTTTTATCAGTAGTGAAATGACATGTTCTCTTAAGTAGTCCAAGTCTTTAGTTAGCTTTGGAAACAAGCGCTTTACATTGTGCACCCCAATTAAACCTAGAGTTTATTGCGACTCCTAAATCTGACTGAGAGGGCACAAAGTCAATATCACTTCCAGAAAGTTTATAGAAGAAGGTATTGAATGGCAAGTTATCCAGCACGTTTCTTTGCAGGGACACAGAGAGGGCTTTGCACTTTTGTGGGTGGAACTTCATTCGATTTCTCACTGACCAATCATACAATCTATTGATGTAATTTTGGATTATGTGATGGTCAGGGTAACCAAGAATCTCCCTCCAAATTTTAGTGTCATCTGCATAAAGGGCGATATTGGTGCCTTCA